GACACTAGATTAATATTTTTCAAATGTTTCTGTAAAGAACGAACATCGTTCAGTGAACGCTTATTTCTATAGAGTACATTTCATTGAGCACGAATGCTTTAGTTATATTAAACGTTCGAAATCATCGGTTGAATAATCTGTTTAAATTGTAATTGGAGTATGCTTAATCACTTATAGAGGCAGAAATTGTCGAGCTTCACAACAGTCTTGCAGTCTTGAATAATATCAATCCAAGGGTTCCTATTTTAGCTAAAAAAGCACACAGAACCCCCTTCTCATTTGGGTTAAACGCATTGTAAGCCGATTGGTGTAGATTTTTTCCAAAATTATTTACGGGGTAAAAACCCTGTGTTAATGGAGCTTAGCAAATGCACCAGGGAACTTATAGAATCGAAGTAAACTTCGAATAGCAGTGACACGCCCACTTTTCACGACTATACAAGTAAACTAAATGTGAATGTACTGGCACATTTACTATGGCAATAGTAAGTGTGTTGCTGTTACGTCCCAAAAACATGATAGAATTAGGAGAAACGCCATAGTGGACCGCTTCAGATGTTTGTATTACCTGTGCTTTTTCGACGTACACCTAACTGTGTGTAGACGTACTCTTGGCGGCAAGGTTAGGCTGGCTAGAATGGGTCGGTGTGATGAGCGTGGCGCTTTTTGCTTGCCGGAGAAGGCCCTTCGGCGCGCCGATGCCGCTAGGGGCGCTGATGGCAGCGGCGCGGGTAGTGAGCGGCGCACTTCGCAGAGTTTTCCTCGGGTGCGCTGCATTTTTTTTTTTTCAGAGGCGGTAGCTGCTTTACAAGTACTTTGTCAATCGGATTGCGATGGGTTACTCTGAAATGCCTGAATGCGTCAACGACAAAAAAAGTAGATCCAGCGTCGCTGCATTACGCTTGTCCGCAAAACTTAGTGCTTCAGTTCAGCTTCTTGAAGAGTCCCAAGGGTGGCAACGTGGATCACTTAGGGAAAGAGTCGCTTTGTCCGTAGAAAAAAATGCTGCATGAGATGGTATAAAATGAGGAAGACTACGAAAGACTTCCATCTGATGCACTAGCAGAATAATGCACCACTGAGCGGTGGATGGTCGCCCTGTATATTATGTGGCAAGCTACGATGTAAGAAATCTGGTACTTTGTAATAATCGTGATGAGTGCAAAATCGCCCGCCTTGTTTCGCAGTGTTGGTGGTAACGCGTTATAAGTAACGCCGTTGCTGGTGTAGCACGTTACTTCGGCAATTAGTATTTGACGCACTCGTTATACATGTAGAAATGGAGCTGCTGCTTAAATTGTGCGAGCTGTAGTTGTCAGCAAGTCGTTCCTGCAACATGGTAGCGTTATTTATCAGTTATGTTTCCAAAATAAAATTAGCTTCGGTTGATAGTACAGGTCGCGGAGCACTAAGTTTTCAGTACCTGGAAAAGCAAGGCTCACGTTTCCATAAACAGTTGCAATTCTGGCGGACCCTGTGTAGGTTAAAGAGGCAAAAATTATTTACACTGCAAATATTTTACACTGCAAATACCTGCCATTATGGTCCGCTAGCAGATGCAAGCTACCAGATTTACTGTATTTTTTTTAGGTTGTGTGATCAGATATTTGCGGAGAGGGTTGACGGTGAAATTATATTTCGGCTTTCTGTAACAATGAGAAATGGATTTAACATGGGCCACGTTGTTATAAGCCATCACATACAACTCTCCGGTGCACATTAGGCCACTGTGTTCTAGGTCCGGCATCTTGTGCAAATTTTGCTAGTTTAATTCACCTAAATTAGCTATATTTGTTTCTGTCAGAGGCATCACTTCTTTTCTTTCAATAGGTCGAGGAGCACGGGACTAAAAGCTCGAGGGATGGACAAAGCACCGACCCAGTCACAAGTTGGCAAAGCAGCAATACACGACAGACATTCATACCTGTAAAATAGAAAATGAACTTTACAAGTATAAAATAGCACCAAGTACGAATACAAAAGCTATGAAACAAAGCTCCACAAATAGAGAGCGAGGAAGTACATATGTATCATAACTTGGCATTAACATTAAAAGCAAAAGTCAATAAGTAGAGTCATGGAAATTTCGGGTCTTCTACTATTCGGCAAAGTGAATTAGCTGGGTGAAGCATCTAATGTGGCGATTTTGATTATTTAAAATTTCATATATCTACAGCGTTATAGGTGGGAATTATACGTAAGAAATAATTACACATAATATTATAATGAAGTGTAAGAAACCATCAGGATCAAAACTATCCACTAATACACAGAAACATTACACCTAATGATACAATACAGTAATAAGAATTATTTAAAAATGCGCAAAACAGCCAATCGTTGCGACATTCGGAATATTGAAAAAAAATCCATAGGAAGCTTTCAATGGCAGAAGAAATGACAATGCGTCAATGTCTTCGTGGTCTAAGGTGGTTATTAGGTAAGGTAGCCTGTAGGATAATGTTCATACTAAACGCTTTTAGGAATAGGTAGAATGCACACTTAATTATTCGTGCCTAGTGAGACAAACACTAGGGTTTACATTTATCTTAGCAAGATAAATTATGGTACTACAACCATGTTTAACGAATGCTTCATGACATGTCAATTATAAATATGCAGCGCAGGCACATTGATTCAAAATTCTGATCTTGGAGTATAATCGATAAGGAACCCCAGGTGGTCAAAATTTCCGGAGCCCTCCACTACGGTGTCTCTCATAATCATATGGTGGTTTTGGGACGTTAAACTAAACATATCAAGGCCTTTTCAAGAAAGGTTTTCAGAGATGAGACTTTAAAGAGCTTAGGTGCCGTGTACTGCCCTACACTTGTCGATCAAAATGATTTTACCAAAAACGGGTCATCACCACACAGAGTGGGAGCAATTTTTGTGGAGAGCGGCACGTGCTGTCTCGTTTGTCTCCTCCGCAATGTTACCCGGATGGATGGATGGATGGATGGATGTGGCTGTACCCTTTAGATCGGGCGGCGGCTAACGCCACCTAGCCGTATTGCTTAGTAAACTAATCATTACATTTATCTTTTTTTTTTTCTTTAAATAATGAAGTTGAGTTGAGGATTCGTACTTCGCAGTGAAGGGTTTAATTTTCACTCGTGCCTTGACTTTAGCCACCAGTCAGATAACCTCCTTCTAGTTAAGTCTACCCGCTTAAAGTCTATTTTGCCCTCGCTGTCCCTAAATCACAGTGCTCCCGCGCCGGTGCATGCAGCGCCCCAAGCGGCATCGGCGCGCGCGGAGGACCGGTTTCGGCAGCCGCTTTTCTACCTACCCATTTTAGCCACCCTAGCAGGGTTCCGTTTGGCGTTGCAGACGCCAGTTGGCAGACTTTGTGGTGGTTGTTTCCAGACTGCCGCCAGATTTGGGAGAGAATATTGCTCCTGTAGTTGTGGCTTCTCCGTGAGTCTCGTGTCGTCCGCGGTGCATTTCGCGTGTGCATGAACGACGTTGGTCAATTTAATAAACAGAATGTTCGTAAAACGCGCGTTGCAGAAGTTGGGGCACGTTTTCTTGTTGTGTGCACTGTTGTGCAATCAATATATCGTGTCTCAGAGTTAGGAAATTAACTACGCGTCGTCCGCCGTTCATTTCGCGAGTGCATGTGCGATGAACTTGTTCGCGAGTGCGTTTGAGACGTAATTACCGGAATTAACCACACGTTGCGAAAGTGGGGCACGTTCTCTTGCTGTGTGCGCAGCTGTGCAATTGAGAGATCGTGTCTCAGTATTAATTGAGTAGAGTCGCAGCAGGTGGTGCGCTGCCCCCCCCCCCCTTTTTTTTCACAGCTTATCATGCCACGTCGACCACGCGTCATGACGCGGACGCTAAGCCTCCCCTAGCTGTGTCAGCACCAGAGATATCGTTTGGACTCGTGTACATATGGACAATTACCGTGCCAAGGCTGAATTATTGTTGTATGCCGAATATGCTTCAGGTATATACGCCTGGAAGGCAGCTTTATCGTCGCAGTTGGAGCGAATTAAGCGCGACTCGCACGTAGCTCTAAATGCGACCCCGCCTGTACGAGCCGCCATCGCCAGCAGGGCCCGTGAGATGCGATTTCTTGATTGCACAGCTGCGCACACAGCACAGCAAGAAAAGGCGCCCCAATTTCTGCAATGCGCGGTTCATTCTGTTAAGTACGTCGCACACGCATTTGCGAACAAGTTCATCTCACACGAATTCTCGAAATTCAACGCGGACGACGCCAAACTCTCACAGAGAAGCCACAACAATTGGAGCGAATTTCTTCGCCAAATCTAGCGGCAGTCTGGTAACGATCACTACAAAATCTGGCAGCTGGGGTATGCAACACCAAACTGAACCTTGCGCTCTTGGCCTCCATTCAAACGCAGTCGCCGCTGCCTGTATTTGGTTCCGTCACATTCCGGTCAGCGGTAGAGCGCTGTAACTACACCACCATGGTAAGTGTCTGTTTTCCACCGTAGTAGAGCTGTGGGTTACTTTCTCGGCTGCCAACGCGAAGCTCAGGGGTTAAATCCCAAACCGATGAGGTCGCACTTCCATGGAGACGTTATACCAGAGGCACGTGTACTGGCGACATCAGTGCACGTTAAAAAACACCAGGAGGTCGCGAGATTTCAAAAGCCCTTTACTACGGCGTATCTTACAATACTATCTTTGTTTCGGATTCTAACACCGTATATAGTATTAATAGTCGCTGAGTGAAATATTATCAGACCTCGCAGAATACGTGACGCAATATCGGGAATGGGAGCTATGGCTGTGCTGACCGGCAATACTTACCTATAAGAAATGGGCGCCACAGTTTTAGCAGGCATAATTAAGAAAAAAAATGTCAATTATTGATATTGGGGTGCTTCAGGAACACAGGCCTTATACTTCGACAATTACGGCGATTATTCTTATGGTTATTTTGTGCAATCGGAAAGCCAAAAAGACTGCAATTATTCCAGTTGGAAAATTTTAGGTGTGTACGAACGTGAAAAAGACAGTAATAGAAGAGTACAACTCGTTTTTAAGTATTTATTTTTCATACACTGTATGACGAAATTTCAAACAAGAGGATATGATGCGTCGGTGGCGATGCCGCACTGGTTGTCCTTGTCACGTGACATGTATATGTAGCCCTCATCTCCCCAATCTTGAGCCCAGCTGTAATGAGCAAGTGCAAAAGAGTCAGTGCTAGGAAACCAACTTCAGCTCGGTGTGCCGGTACGCCATAAGAACAGTTTATATGCCAATCGGGAATAGCACCTCGAACTTCACTGAAAACCAAGAAATCAAAACAGTATAGGGTTAAATTGAATACTCTGTTGCGTGGAACACACTTTTTCCAGATGAGTCATTAGGTTGTGAAGCCCGACAATGCTTTTTACAGCCAACACTCAATGAATACCTTCATTTTCGCTTTAATGAATCAGTGCCAAGTATATTTTTGAGATTACTCTAAATGCGCATGCTTAACGAAAACTATTTTTAGGCACAAAAACGAATAACGTGCCTCCAGATACTTTTTTTTGTGTGTGGGCGCGAATAGTATGAACTATGTGTCACCTGCATCGGCAATGTCATATACGGTGCCACTTGATAGTGGTTCACTAATGAGCCGACATTGCCACTGTCGAGATTCTTCGCACGTTCGAGAAGTTGGTAATAATCTCGCTAGTCTGACCTCCTCACTTGTAAAACAGAACGTATTCGAGGTGGCACATAAGCATTGCGCCTAGCTAGATATCACATGCCCCTCACTCAACTTCCTGTTGTTTCCGCTAGTCCGCTGTGATGCGGCTGTTGCTGAATGCTGTTTCTAGTTTTAACGCAAATTTATCGTTTTATTGGTATTTTCTTGTTTTTTAACATAAAACTTCGGGAGTTTGTGACGGAAGAAATAGAGCACACTTATAAATAAAATTATTATCCTGATTGCGGAATTTATTTTGGCCTATTCATTTTACGCGTTTACACACCTACAATAGGTGAACTAAACAACTCCCACTCAAACCATCCACAAATCTATCAAAACAATCGCTGAGAGACGCATCGGTTTGATTTTATTAGTAATTCTAGTTGCAACAGTGCTTCCGGGATACAACAAAAATACGTCAAATTTTTGAAATAGTATTCTTGTTTCTTGGCTGGGTAGCTCAAAATAATCCTAAAGGACGACCATTATTTTATTTCACCTGAAAATACTATGACGATAGATGATCTTTTTATCCTTTTGCTTCCGCTGTTATGCTTCTTGGGATTGCGCCTCAACTCTGCATCTCTCAACATAGTAGTTCATGGCTACTGATATGAGGTCGATAGTTTGTCGGACACCCACCTGCCCGATCAAAAACATGGGCGATGGAAACACAGCGCCAACCAAAGTAAATATATATTCTTAAAGCACTAATATTTTTAAAAATATTTCTATAAACTACAGATACGTGTCTAAATTCTTCGCATTTTACTTGCTAGCCAAGTCTTCGCCTCTTTTCATCGCTCACTGTATCTCATAGTTCTCTAAAAAATGGCCTTATAAAAACTGTACCTGTTTTTAACAAGCCAATACTTTGTTCCGTTGAGAACCCCGTAGCCGACGGCGAGCACACCGTGGTCAAGTCTGGAGCTGCTGCATGCCTTCTCATCGTACACACCTGTGGTATAGACATGCGAGCGTTAGTAAGGGTGACTGTTTCCAATTTATCAAGATTTTGAGAGAAGTCCCATTGGCAGCGAGCTTCTGCTATCAAAAGGTTATTTTCTGATCTGCACAATAATTAAGCGCTGGGCAGTGATTCTATAAAAGCTTCTTGGTGTGATATTAGAAATTACTATTTGGATTAGGGGTCAGAAAACTATGACGTAAATATTAGAGACGCAGTGGTGGCAAGCTCCGGAAATTTTTACCATATGTCTTCTTTAACGTGCACCTAAATCTTAGTACACGGGCGTCTAGCATTCTGCCTCCATCGAAATACGTTCCAGCAACGAGGATCGGAGCCCATAACCTTCGCATGAGCAGTCAACCACCATAGCCAATAGACCACTGCGGCCGGTTTTTGGTGCGTTGTGATAGTTCAGTGCTTCCTATACGTTATCTGGGCAGAAATAATTTCACTGTCGAGAAAGTATTAGGACCAAGGCACTGCTCATCTAATTTCCGAAACGCAATGAAAGCACTGTTTCATTTTCTTAAAGACACCGCCATGTATCATCGTTTGTGATGATGAAACTGTTACGCGTCGGCCCAGTCAGTGACCTTTTTTCTCCTCATCTATACCTTTCCCTCCCCCCTCTTTTCTTCCCAAGTTCGGGGTAGCCTACCGGGGCTCAGCCCTGGTTAACCTTCCTGCCTTTCTCCTTGTGTTCTCTCTCTTTAATGAGTACGCACGCACCCTGCAGAGGACCGGTGATGCACGTAATAAATGTGCCCCATCGTAAATAAAGCTTGATAATGTGACGTAACCTACCGAAGCATGGCGTTGGTCGGTTTTCGGACACGTTATAAACTCAGAGAAGAAGATGCACTTTGCATTGGTGTGGGACGTAATATGCATGACAGAGACAATACACGGTTAAAGTTAAGCGTTAGCGAAATAGTGGGGTGTAAGCGTATGACGTTACCGTTCAGCAAACGTACGTTGAGGAGAGAACGTTAAAGTTTAGCGGGGTATCGTTTACGTGCCGAATATTAGACGATGGCATCACTTAGTGAAGGTTGAATGAAATGAAAATAGCAAACGCTAGCATTTTCAGTAAAACAGAGAATGCTCGCGAGTATACCGCACGCAGTGATATTACAGTTTTTATTATTAACAAAAGTAAAAAAAATATGACTCAAGCAACAAACGCGAATATATTTATGTTGCCGATTAATTTACATCGCTCACCTAGGGGCGTTCCGAATGTAAAGTGATCTTGAAAACAAGGCTAAGTTATCCGCAATACTCGATCGTCGAAGCTACCTGAAGCTTCACGCAGTCGTTTGCTGCGAAACAAGTGGATCCGTCAACACTAACGCCAAGTTTAGATCGAAGCAGGTGTCAAAAACCGCCGCCATGTTTTACGTACACTATCTAAATCCGCGTAAACACGCTAACGTTAAATCTGAAAACTTGTGGGCGCATGGTACACAGTACGGAGTGTATAGCGTGCTGCGCATGCGCATTTCGATCTCGCTATACCTGAACGCACCATTACACCTTAAACGGTACTCGTACATAGAGTTTCATGGAACATATTCTACGCCTATAGCAAAGACACGTTTGTGCGTTAGTAGCCTCAAACACATTTTTGGCTTTTTCTTTAACTTCCCAAAGAAAACTCTGTGTAATATATATCCGTGTGCCCGTGACTGGTTGTACGTGTTGCTGTGTAATTAAGAGTGCGTATATATATCATAATGATCACCCAGTGGTTAGAGTAGCAGCTCAGGAGAAAAGCCGGACTTACCTTTCCAAATTTTCAACACAGTTCATAATAACGGAATTCCAAGTGCCTCGTGTTAATTAAAAATGAATGCCAGGAAAGGTGTAAGGGGTATTAACTTACATATTTAGCGAGACTAAAAAACATGATTGATTCTTTTATCATAGAATCAGTAAAACACAAAAGTAACATGTGTCCTTGAAAAAATTGCAAAGTGTTTACTCAAAATCGATTTAAATAGGTTGGCGCAAATTTTATCGGTGTTTGACAGGTAAATTACTGCTTAACGTGGCATTCACGTTGCCGCTTAGTCATATATCTCCATCCCGACGACTAACAGCTATTATTAATAAGTTAAGCAACACCCTTTCGATCATAGACGCTTGTGTGAGAGTGGAACCAGAAAAAAAGGATGCGACAGCCAGAAGAGTGTGGCTGATGTTTTCTGTCGTTCGCTGTCCCTGCGCCTCGCTCTCTTCTCCTCTCTATCTCTTTACCTTTTAATCCTATCCTTTTAATCCCTCCTTTTAATCCCTCCTTTACCCCTCTCTCCTCATGAGCTACTGTTGAGGTGTCGTCCCCCTGAGAGACAGTTATGGGGCTCACTTTTCTCTTCTTTTTATGTAAGACTCACTCACAGTGTGGCTGACTGGACGCCAATCTGAGGTTTACGATGCGTACTGGCGGCATGTTGTAGTTAAACACCACTGCCCGTTGAGAGGGAAATGCAACGGATATTGCGTCTTCCTTTTGGCCAGCCGTCATTGGTCACGGAGCTAGAGTAAATACGTGGGAAGGCAAAGATGGACGCTATAAGTGATGCCGACGCCTGGGTCCCCACCTTGAAGTGTGTTAAGGCATTGACAAAATGGCACTTATTTTATTATAAATGCAATAAATGGGACGAACACTTAGAAACGACGCTTTGAAGAAACAAATGGCACATACCACCGTCACAATGCATTACTGCACTTTACCAAGTATTCTGCCAGAAGAAAGTGGCAGGTGTTAAGGACGTATCATTTTAAACATACAAAGTATGCGGCTATGAGGCAGTGGTAAGCGTGCTTGGTAATTCTTGTCGCGGCCCCAGACATTTCGGATTCAAATTCTTATGACCAAACGTTTTTTTTTTATCTTGCGATCATGCGCTGTTTTTGTCATTTTAGGAACGGAAATACATCAGTGAGATCTTGATGGACCCAGAATAAAATATTTTCGTGTTAAAATGTTGCAGGAGGGGCCATAAAAAGAAAATTTATATAATAATTGTGGGGTTCGTTGACCCGAAATCACCATATCATTATGACAGACGCCGTAGTTGAAGGATGTAGAGATTTCGACCACCCAAGGTTTCTTCAACGTGCTCGTAAATCAAAGCACACGGGCCTCAAGCATTTTCCCCTCCGCCTAAAGTACGACTGCCGCTGCCAGGATTTGATCCCGCGACCTTCGGGACCATACCTGCGGGATGCTAAGAAAATTGAAAACACCCTGATTGCATAAGCTGACAATGAAGATAAGTTCTACCGATTCGTGAGGTCAGTGCTTTTCTAATTAACCTATCAACGGGTCTCCACGCTTTTATACTTTTGAGGGACTCCCTTCAACGTACGTGTCGCGTAGTGTGTTAGCTTAGGAAAAAACTATTTGCGATAACCTTTCGCTATAAGATATAGTCATCTACGCATATTCTTGAAATATAACCATAATGTTGCCTAAGGCCATTATGCCATTTGGCTCTAATTTTATTAGTCATTTGGTTATTCGGTTCGGTATATTCGGTTATTCGGTATATTCGGTTCGTCCATTATGCCATGCGGTTCTAATTTTATTTGTTATTGAATCAACATCATTTTCGCATAGCTCACTTGTTGTTCTCCTTGCGTTGCACAATAACTTACTATAATAAAAGAAAGATGCTCACATGACAGCGTGAGGCTGTGTACAAAGATACCATACGGAACAAAATTGAGGACGTTGAGTATATAATAGTATCTGATAAGAGAACTGCATTGTCGAAAATCCTTATGAAAAAATCTGAGGACATTGATTACGCGGTGGTGTCTGATAAGAGACCAGTCATTGTCGAAATCGAAAAACAACCCCGATATCTTATTTGTGTGGGACGCACTGAGATTACACGGAGAAGTTGTATCAGCAAGGATAAAACCTTGTCATTCATGTCAGTCGCACGCCGGAACATAACGACGTCTCACTGTTATTCCCCCTTCACACACACACACACACACACACACACACACACACACACACACACACACACACACACACACACACACACACACACACACACACACACACACACACACACTAATATTTTCTCGCTACTGTTAATAAGGTGCGCACGTTTCCTTTAACGGAGGTCATCCTAGCACAATGGTCCAGGCCCATTCCTTCAAATCAGTTCTGTTTAGGCTGCAGAAACTAATCCAAATGTAGCGGTGTTTATTACTGAAATAGAATCGTGGTAGCAAATGAAAGAAAGGATGTTTTCGGTAACTGCGTGTTCTACCATCTTATATCCATGAAACAAGTAAATTTGAGGGAGATCGAACGAAATCTCTGCGATAAATAAATAGAGGGCGGCCAGAGGTGCGCATTATGAGAAAAAATTGGCCCCGTATCTCCTTGTTAATCTGCAAATGTCGTCGAAAGGCGATAGTCTTGCGTCTGGAGAGGTTGAACAAAACGGTTATTTGATGTTCTGAGCAAGAAAATCGTCGAATGGTATTCTGGAGGCGATACGTTAGAGCGCCTCGAGCGTGCAGTGGAGGCGAACGAGCGCACCAAGTCACGTCACACGTGAGACAAGAGCGCTCACGTCCCACGTCACACGTAAGACGGGCGTGCGCACCCGTCTCAGAAGCGATAGGGTGTCGACCGCAAGGCGATGGGTAGGGGCCACCACCATGTCATCTTAGCAATGCGTTGGAAACACTTCCCTTTTCGTCAGCGCCGCGTGATAAACGCTACAGTCCTTAGAATAACTTACGTATGCTTTTTGTAGTAAAATACGCACATCTAGACTATATACGTGTTGTTATGGTGCCTCAGATATGCGTGATAATTGCTTTGAAAGACGATAGTCTTTCTTGGGGACCTTCGAAGCAAAGTTTCGGTCTGTCTGTCTGTCTGTCTGTACATTTGTCTGTTTGTCCACTTTTACCGGCGTCGGGTACTTGAAGCGGCCGACCCCATCCGCAGCGACCACCAATGTTGCTCAAGGTTGAGCGATCATGCTTGTGCAATTGTCAATTAAAAGCAATTATTGCCCATGTCTCGGGCACCATAACAACACGCATGTATTCTTTATATGCATGTCTTACTAGAAAACGCATACATAAGTAATTTTAAGGACTGTAGCGCTTATCACGCTGCGCTTACCATGCAACGCTTGCATGGAACTGGGAGTGTTTCCAACGCTTTGCTAAAACGAGATGGTGGTGGCACCTACCCGTCGCCTCGCGTTCTACACCTTATCACCTCTGAGACGGGCGAGCATGGCCACGCGCTTTGTTTTCGAAAATAAGCTGCCAGATGGCGCTCATGTCTCACGTGTGACGTGACTTGATGCACTCGTTCGCCGCCGCTGCACGCTCGAGGCACTCTAACGCAGTGCCTCCAGAATACCATTCACCGATTTTCTTTTTCTTGCGCAGAACATCAAATTAATGTTTTGTTCACTCTCTCCACACGCAAGATAATCGTCTTTCGACGACAATTGCAGATTACATGCAGATCATCGTCATCATCATCATCATCATCATCATCATCATCATCATCATCAGCCTGACTACGTCCACTGCAAGACAAATGCTTCTCCATCTCCCGCCAGTTAATCTGGTCCTGTGCTTGCTGCTGCCAATTTATATCCGCAAACTTCTTAATCTCATCTGTCCACCTAACCTTCTGTCTCCCCCTAACCGCTTACCTTCTCTGGGAATCCAGTTAGTTACCCTTAATGACAAACGGTTATCCTGTCTACGTGCTACATGCCCAGCCCATGTCCATTTCCTCTTCTTGATTTCAGCTGTGATATCCTTAACCCCCGTTTGTTCTATAATCCACTCTGCTCTCTTCTTGTCTCTTAAGGTTACACCTACCATTTTTATTTCCATTGCTCGCTGCTTCGTTCTCAATTTAAGCTGAACCCTCTTTGTAAGTCTCCAGGTTTCTGCTCCATAGCTAAGTACCGGCAAGATACAGCTGTTATATACCTTCCTCTTGAGGGATAGTGGCAATCTACCTGTCATAATTTGAGAGTGCTTGCCAAATGTGCTCCACCCCAATCTTATTCTTCTAGTAACTTCAATCTCGTGGTTTGACTCCGCGGTTATTACCTGCCCTAAGTAGACATAGTCTTTTACAACTTGAAATGCACTATTGCCTATCTCGAAGCGCTGCTCTTTTCCGAGGTTGTTGTACATTGCTTTCGTTTTCTGCAGATTAATTTTAAGACCCACCTTTGTGCTCTCCTTGTCTAACTCTGTAATCATGAGTTGCAATTTGTCCCCTAAGTTACTCAGCAATGCACTGTCATCGGCAAAGTGCAGGTTACTAAGGTACTCTTCATTAACTCTTATCCCTAACTGTTCCCATTCTAGGCTTCTGAATACCTCTTGTAAGCACGCGGTAAATAGCATTAGGGAGATTGTGTCCCCCTGCCTTACACCCTTCTTGATTGGTATTCTGTTGCTTTTTTTATGAAGCACTATGGTAGCAGTTGATCCCCTCTCGATTTCTTTCAGGATGTTTATATATACTTCATCGACGCCATGATTCTGCAGTGTCTGCATGACGGCTGATATTTCTACTGAATCAAACGCCTTCTCGTAATCTATGAGGGTTATGTATAGAGGTTGGTTATATTCTGAGCATTTCTCTATGACCTGATTGGTAGTATGAATGCGGTCAATCGTTGAGTAGCCTGTTCGAAATCCTGCTTGTTCCTTTAGTTGAATGAATTCTAATGTTTTCTTTACTCTGTTAGCAATTACCTTTGTAAATAGCTTGTATACTACAGAGAGCAAGCTCATCGGCCTGTAATTCTTCAAGTCCTTGTCATCTCTTTTCTTATGTGTTAACATAATGTTAGCGTTCTTCCAGGACTCTGGTACTCCTCCCGTCAGGAGACACCTCGTAAACAGGGTGTCTAGTTTTTCTAACACAATCTGTCCTCCACCTTTCAGCAGATCTGATGTTACCTGATCCTCACCAGCACCTATCCCTCTTTGCTTGCTCTGCAAAGCTTTTCTGACTTCTATCATTACTGGTGTGGTGTCGTTTGGGTTACTACTAGTTCTTATAAAATTGAAGTCTTGGTTGTCCCGGCTACTGTACAGATCTCTGTAAAACTCCCCGCTATTTTAACTATCCTATCCACATTGGTAGTTATTTTGCCGTCTTTGTCCCTTAGTGCATACATCCGATTTTCGCCTATCCCAAGTTTCCTCTTCATTGCTTTGACGCTTCCTCCTTTCTTCAAAGCGTGTTCAATTCTCTCCATGTTATGCCTTCTTACTTCGCATACTTTACGCTTATTAATCAACATTGAAAGCTCTGCCAGTTCTTTTTTGTCTGTTGTACTTGACTTTCATGATTTGATGCTTCTTAATGAGATTCTTTGTTTCCTGGGAAAGCTTGCCAGCGTCCTGTCTAACTACTCTGCCTCCAACTTCCTCTGCACACTCCGTAATGATACTCGTCAGATTATCATTTATTGTATCTACGCTAAGGTTGGTTTCCTCCCTAAGAGCCAAGTACTTGTTCTGAAGCGATACTCTGAATTTCTGTACTTTCCCTCTCAGTGCTAGCTCATTGATGGGCTTCTTGCGTATCAGCTTCTGTCTTCCTTCTTCAAGTCTAGGCGAATTCGAGACCGTACCATTCTGTGGTCACTGCATCGTACCCTGCTCTGCCAACCACTTCAACATCTTGCACGATGCCTGGGTATGTACTCAGTATAAAGTCTATTTCGTTCTTATTTTCGCCATTAGGGCTCCTCCATGTCAACTTTCGGTTTCCTCGTTTTCGGTAAAAGGTATTCGAAATCCGTAAATATTGCGTTCTGCGAATTCTACTAGTAGCTCTCCTCTGGCGTTTCTAGTGCCAATGCCATAATCTTCTACTGCCTGTTCTCCCGCCTGATTCTTCCCTACCTTTGCATTAAAGTCTCCTATCAGTATAGTATACTGTGTTTTACCTTACTCATTTCCGATTTCACGTCTTCATAGAAGCTTTCAACTGAAACGTCATCATGGCTGGTTGTAGGCGCGTAAGCCTGTACCACCTTCATCTTGTATCTTTTATTAAGTTTAATTACGATACCTAGCACTCTTTCATTAATGCTATAGTATTTCTCTATGTTGCTGTGAATTAGGAACCCCACTCCCAGTTCTTTTCTGTCAGCCAAGCCCCGATAGCAAAGAACGTGCCCATTCTGTAGCACCCTATAGGCCTCATCTGTCCTCCTAACCTCACTGATCCCTATTATATCCAATTTAACACCCTCTAGCTCCTCGAATAGTAGAGCTACACTTCCCACACTAGATAAGGTTCTAGCGTTACACTGAAATTACATTTAGTCAATCTGAAACTGAGAATGAGCAAATCGCTCTAGAACGACACAAGATAACATAAAAATACAAAAAGAAAAAAACGATGAATTTTTTCAGAAAGACCGCGCCACTGACTTTCCGGCATTTGAACTTTTGTTTCGGTTTCAGGGAAGATGAAGTCATTGTGAGTTTGACAATCGCATTTCAAGCATACCTACCCCTTTCAATGAAGAGTTTTTTTATTTGATTTCCCGAAATCTTCGAATCGTGCGTATGTTTGAGAACAATAAAAGTGACAAAAGCTCAGGAGAAAATATGACTGCTGATTTCACACAAGTATCTATAATGCAACAAGGTATCTCATGAACAAAAGTAATTAAGCCCTAATGAGCAATTCCTTGTTTTTGAAAAAGCTATGGAGCTGCTTTTTATAAGCTCCGCTATGCAGTTTGAAAGAAAACAACAACAAAATCAACCCTCTTACAACGTGGTTATGAACAAATGCGTTTAATAAAAACGATAATTAAGATTTACGACAGTGAAAATATAAATGACACCAGCTTGTCGACCGCCCAAGGGATTGCAGCCTCATAAGAGAGGTGATTGTTTTCTTTCCCCTTTCTTTTCAACGCAGTTTTCCTCCCAAACAGACACGCAAATCCTTGAAACTGAACCTCATTCTTTCAGAATATGGAAGTAGAGCCCGTGCTTCGAAGTACTTCTTGGTGTTTCAACTCTATCTACTTGCGTTTATTCGTCTTTTCGTGAGGACGACGCTGTTTATGGCGGAACCAGCGTTTGTGGCGGTACAAACAGCCTAACGCTGGCGCTTTACACGAGCACACTTACCTTGCTTATAGAACTGGAACGAGCGCTGGCTCGCGTCAATGGCGACGGACACTGGTCCAACAGTTGCCACGGCGTTTTTCAAATCTTTCTCGGAGCCCTCCTTCACGTTCACCATTCCTGTCACCGTGGCTCCGACGTCCTCCTTCTTGAACTTGCACTCGCGCTCCTCCTGTGTGCAGACTGCATTATTACCAAAAACTCGGCCCCTTACTATGTTCAGTACTGGTCACAATACGTTGAGACGCCGAAACGGAAAATTCTTTTCCTCCTACCTGGTATAGAACCTAGTATAAAATGAAGAGGGAGGAAGGAGGAACAACAACAAGAGAGAAGGCAGGAAGGTTTTCCAGGGCACATGTCCTGTTGGCTACCCTACGCTGGGGGAATTAAAAAGGGGAGTATAAAGATGAAAGAGAGAATGGAAAGAGACAAAAAAATTCTCAACAAATGAGATGACCCTACGCAGCGGTCTAACTATAAAAAGGTCAAAAGTATTCACATTGGCCTGTAATCTTCCGAAAATGCAAGATAGTTTGACTGCCTTGTGAGCTGACAAAAAACGAGGACGGTGCGCTCGTAGCATATGGAAAGATAGTTCCCGATCATCCAATTATAGGAACGCGTCAGAACGTTCTCGCTTCTCAGAGGCAAATTTAGGCTAATGGCATAACAGATAGTTGATGTCTTCTTCGGTGCCGCAGGCCTCACATGTCGCACTATCAGTCACTTCAGTTAGCGTTGTACATGCTTTTGTGAAGGCAGCCCCAAACCAAAGCCGGCAATGAAGTGATACCTCACGCCGGCGAAGTCCGGAAGGGGAGCCAGAGTTCCAGTTGAGGGTTTATTTGGTAGACACTTCACTGAAGCACAGGTATAGTAGGTCGGCATGGCAATGCCGTTTTTACAGTGATGGTGATGGTGTGTATGACTCGGCGAAACCAAAATTCGTTCGTCCTATGCACGCGGGGATTCCTAACGCGTGCGTTCTGCAGCAATCGGTGAAGACCCACTAGGCTACACTAGTCTACTGAAAATGCAGAATTCGCACATGGATGAAAGTGTATGGGCCACAGAAATTGCGTATACCACAATAATCGCAACCGATTCAATTAAAGTTGACAAGAAAACACTCTGGTGGTAAATAAAATTAAGAATTTCCGGAAAGTTGTAGACGGCAGTTCAGAAAAACGGCCGAGCCAGTGGGATAAGCCCTGTGATATACACCGTTTTTTAAAGAATAATAGTAAAACTAAGGACAAACTCCTGTCAAGCAGTACTCTTAACACGGGATGCGCATAGCACGTCATATACTCAACAGCTGCTGCGTCACGTTTTGTCGACGCGTTCCCAATAGCAAGGACGAACGCATACCCCTTTTTTTTATTTACGACTACATAAAGCGAGAATAACATTGTAGCCAAGCAAACCAAACACTAAAGCTAAGCCACCTACATAAAATTTTTAGCGCAAAAATAATCGCGAAAGTGAGCATAGATCGTGCTCGGAACTTTCCTGCTCGACGATGTGCCATTTCACATTCTCAAACAGGTCGCAACTATAAACCGCGATAGAGGACTCTCAACAGTAAACACAGTAGAAGTGGAACGCCGCGTATATCAGTTGCTTCACAAGTACCACAGTTCAAAGCTCACCCCGAAAGCCGTCTATGGCGGGAATTTGTTAGCATTAGCCTTCATTCGCATTACCTCCAACAGAAATATTTATTGTGGTATACGAACGTGAACGTTAACGTAAATCCACACTGTGAATCTCTGTGATTGTTTCTTGATTTTTTTTTGTTTGAGTACAAGTAGTTTCGCCATAAAAAACGATACTTGAATGACTGCCAAGGCGGAAATTATTTACCGTATATGACTGTTTTAACCTGCATATTTAACCTGCATATTTAACCTGCATTTTAACCGGCATATTTTAACCCGAATCCCCACGCCCCACGCCTGAGCCTCGCCTAGAGAGATACGGGTGAGGAGGCATAAAAACCTAACGAATAACTAAACCTCCTGCATGTGCGCTTGAAGGCCTGACGACACCGACGTGGACACGGCCGGCCTAGGTCTGAAAAGACTGGGCTTCAGGACACAAATTAGGTTTTGTGAATGAATGAATGCCACTTGTAGAAACGAACACCTTGAAAATTAAAACAACCTCTGCAGATTGTCGTAGAAAGACAGTTTACTGCTTGAATTCATGGAGTAGACATTTTCAAGTTGGTTGGTGTGCTTTGCTCTAAATGACGATATGGCACTGGAACTTTATAACGCTTAAAGACGACGGAGCATGAGCATGTTCTGTTGTCTTTCACGTCCCGTGTTTCAAGCGCGGTGGCGCCACTTATATCAGCATGAAGTCTGGTGAAACCCGACGGCACATGCCAGCGTACTCAACGTTACAAGACATGAGTGTGACGGGACAGCTTCCTTCCACGCACCAGTCACACAAAGAAAAAAAAAGAAACTGTAGCCAAACAATGGTCGGCAGCTTAACCGGTCGAGAATAAACAGTTTGCTACCCCCCACGTGGGAACGGGATGGTGGACATTGAAAGAGGCAGAGGAAAGAAAACGAAGGAAAGCACGTCACTCAGAACACACACAAACACGCAGTCAGTCACAGTCCATCATTTTGGCCTGGTACGCGACATCACTGTCACAGCCCGCTTGCGCTAGTTCGTATTCCTCAAGATCCTCAGTAGTTCCTTGATCATGACCTGGTGAGGGCGGTCACGCATGAAGTAGTTCTGCTCGAAGCACGAGAAGACCCCCCCCCCCTATTTTTACGTGCCCCGCCGCGGTGGTCTAGTGGCTAAGGTACTCGGCTGCTGACCCGCAGGGCGCGGGTTCGAATTTCAGCTGCGGCGGCTGCATTTCCGATGGAGGCGGAAATGTTGTAGGCCCATGTGCTCAGATTAGGGTGCACGTTAAAGAACCCCAGGAGGTCTAAATTTCCGTAGCCCTCCACTACGGCGTCTCTCATAATCATATAGTGGTTTTGGGACGTTAAACCCCACATATCAATCAATTTTCACGCGCTATTGTGCTTGTATACTATGTAATGTTAGTACTTACATGGCCAAGGTAAGGGTAGCTCTCTTCGGTGTCAATTCCACCGTTGGCTTTTATATATTCGAAGGCATTCTCCATACTTCCACCGTTGCAGCCATGGTTGTCGTAGCTTTTCGAGCAGTCGACGAGATTTTGCTCGCTTAGAGATACCAGCTTGCCGGTCTTCCTGAAGTGTTGACCTTCCAGTGATCCGGTCTAGGAGTTAGACAAAAGCAGTCAACGTTATAGAATTAGCTCCGAGACCCTCACAGCTTAAAAAGTTTGTGTCGTTTCTGGAGCGAGGAAGATTTTGTCAGCAATCAATAAAAAAAAATATGGACCATCTTCTCGAAGGAAATCCTGATAGGATGCGAAGCAGCAGCAGTGCGCATGGTGTGGACCCGGTAGAAACGGGCGTCGATGCGAGTGCTGGAAGAATGGTCTGAAGAGAAACTAGGTGTAGCGTTTACTAGAGCAAACGTTTGTTCCAAAAGCAAAGATATGAGAGGTGGTTTGGGTTTCGTGTAAGTTTCATTGCAGATAACGATTCTTCGCTCAATGTGCGCTCGAACGTTATCAGCGGTGGATAGGATGAAGCGAGAGAGATTACATGTGACGAGCGGCGACACGCTAGGGAGAGAGAGACGTCAACATGCGCGCACTGCGAGGGATGGCGTGACCTACTTGGCACCGCCCCCGCGCCTGCGGCCAAGGGAGCATGTTGAGGACGGAGGGATGGCGTTACACAAGCTAGTGAAAGAGCTGCTTTGCATCTAAAAAAAGGCATGAGTGCGGTGCAGTTGATAGGCCATTAAACAAGTGCTTACCCATGAGGAGAGGAAAAAAAACAAGGGGTTCAGAATAAGCAAGTCAAACCAATTTATTAATGGGTACAATAACACTTTCTTTCGTATCATTTGTTTACACACTTGCTATAATTGCAAGAATGGTCAGTGGTGCCATCAATCTTAAAGGTTGAAGTTTCACCAATATCAGAAACAGGGGCCACATAGTTGCAGCCATCTTGGCAATATCAGAGTTTGGGCTAACCAAGGGCCATTTCACAGCTCTGTTAAGAACTAATCAATCAATTTGAGTTCAAGAACAGAATGAGCTTGCATTTTCCCAACTCTTTAAAAACGAATACATCACAAGAATTGAGCGTGAAGGTGTGTCCGTGAAGAGGAGATGTAAAATAGTTTCTTACCGCGCTGAATGCCCAGCAAGAACCACATCGTCCTTGATTTTTGACAGGAGTGACGTAACCTTTCTTGCGCCAGTCTAGTGATTCCGGAAGATCAGTGTCATCGATATTCGCAGGTGGCAAGTAGGTGGATCCAGCTTTTTTGGCATCACTGCGATCGTAGCAGCTAGTAAGCTGAACAAACTCATGATGAAGCTGCGAAACAATAGAGAACGGGTAGATTACAAAATTTTAGAACAGTGCTAAGTAAACTTCCAGTTCACATTAGTCAATTATCCTTTAAAAGTGACATCTCTGCTAGTTAAATGAGGTGTGTCGTTTTGCGACTGTAATAAACATCTCCACATTTTGATTCTTATTGGGCATCTGGTTTTGTAAGACTACCCCTCGGAAGGGGGCGCTTCATACAGAGATGGCGAAAAAGATTTTAAGCTGGTAGAAAAATCCAGTAGCAGGCTAACTGATCGGTGGCTACTAATCAAGGCGTGAGCAAAATTCAATCATTCAACACATAGTGATATCACTTCATGACTAGCTGACGTGAGCCGCTGCCCGACCTAAAGAAAAGCACTATACATATATCCATCCATCCATCCATCCATCCATCCATCCATCCATCCATCCTTAATTTGATCGGACCTTGCTTGGGGCTTCTTGAAGTTGGAACACCAATTAATAGCGGTAATTCTAAATGTAATAATATAGCTGAGCCCAAATTGAAAATAATTTTGTAAGCATGTATTTTATTGTTGTTGTTGTCAGTGAGCGTAACTACGTTAGAATGCGCATGGGCTACGAAGACATAAAGAAGAGAAAAAATAGGAGATCAAGCACGCAAGTGTGCATGTGTGTTACAGACTAATTCATAACTTATGAAAGTAAGAAAATCAAAAAATATGACCTCCCAAACAGTGTCTACAGTTAACAGCTCTGCTGTTTGCCCTATTCGGACTTGAATAACGGACGTCCTTATCTAGCCACCCACTTCGTTGGTAAGTCGCAAAGAAAGATCTGTGCACCAATTTAATGTACCTACCAAGTCGCCGAACTGGTTCATGCCGAGGCTGTATGACTTCAGGCCTTTCTCGTATTTTTCATTGTGCCTTGCGATGAACAGGCTGTTTTCCATGAATACCTTCAACCTTAAAAGTTCTTCATCGGCAGATGCGTAGTTTCTAGCTAGTGGGAAAGTAAGAGTCATTTTGTTTGCTTTTGAATTTTATTATACTATGAAATGATCTCATGAAAGGCAAATGAATAAGTGACATTTTGAGCATGCCTTTTCCCCGCTTAACTTTGAACAAACTTGTCTAAATCAAAGTGGTGCAAGAGAATAGGTATTCTTCAACACCCCCATTGCGGGTTTTGTTTCATATGCACCTACATCATTTTTGTTACCTGTTCCTCAGTAAATGAAGTAATACTTACCTAAAACACTGTATGTGGTATGTATCTTCTAATATATGCATAACTTTAAAATTGATCAGGCAGCACTTGCAGATGACGTATTCAGATAAGAAAAACTTTTGTCTATCTTCCTTGATAAGCAACACTCGCCTGATAGTTATGCAAACATGCGAGACACTCAAAACCGGATAACCCACGAATATCTCACCGTGCTTGGTCTTGAAGGCTTTCCATTCTGAGCGGATGACTTCTTCCGCTGTTACAGCGAATGCCACAGCAAGCGCTGCGGACATTACGAGCCAGCCAAGAATCATGACTGATAGAAACGTGGCCTAGTTACGCAGAATAGAAACAGTAAATAAAACATTATATGAAAAAGAACACCTAGGTGATTGTCTAGGTCAAAAAAGTACTACGAAATGCCACCGTATGTGAGGGATTGCTTTTAGAAAGCACTTGACATCTGCATAATCACTGGCACTTTGTGAACTATGGTAGACTACGTACTACCGTAAATAGCTATTTATAGTTACTACTTCTTAAGCTTTATCTGTAAAGCAGCCAGAAAAAACTGAGCTAGACGTCTGAACTTCAAACTATTTTCAACTTTAAGGAGGAAACAGGAAAAAAGTAAAGAACCTGAACTTGTCCTGTAAAACTTCATGAAACGTTCACTGCTGTGAAGGGATGACGCTATTGAAATATTAGTCTTCTAAAACTACAAAAAAAAGAAAAAAATTGCAATTGAAGAGCGCGTGCTATGTTAAGTGGTAGCTGATGGATAGTTTTTTTTTCTTTTAAGGAAAATTAACACAGGAGGTCTCATCATTTCTGACTCTCGGCAAACCTTTTTTTTTTGTACAAAATATAAATAAATATGTTTCTGTAGCGTCTAGACATATACTGTGCTCTTATTCTCTCTAATATTGTGCTTTTGAGAAGCCTGTTAGTTTAGGATGGTGCATAAACGTCGTGCTATGTTGTACTTCACACTGCGAATGACGATCCAAATATCCTCATCATCCAGGCCCTCACTGCACAATTTCATTTGTCACCACTCTTCTTTTTATCAATATATAGATTATTGAAGCGTTCAAACAAATTTGTAAAATGCACAAAGTGTTCGTTACTGATGACCCCATCTCTGTTATACTTCATGCTGAGTGTTCACAATTTTCTTTTTGACGAACTAAACTTTTTCAAGTTACCTTACGTGATATTTCAGGTATTAGAAACAGCAGAACACTTCGACGTTGAACAAGCATGTATAGCGCTGAGCACTTATGCCTACACACAGTAGTTAGATACCGCTACAAAAAACTTCGATGCGCTCTATTTTTCTTGATGAAACCTCACAAGAAGCGACAAAAGAGCTGTAGCTATCACAGGGTACATTTTAAAGGCATTATGGTAATACAAGAATGGTAATCCATGAAATTTCAGATCGTAAAGAGGAACGGTACGCACCTGCCAATAAAATGGTTTGAAGTTGTCTTGAAATCAGTGGGCAGCGAGATGTCGCCCTCTCTTTTAAGGACGCCAGCTCCTGTCACAATTGTCTTACCTGACTTCCGTGGGGGCGTGAGACTTCCTAATCTTGCAAAGCGCCTATTGTTTGAGTCTTCTTCGCAAAGTACTTCCTTTAGTGCATTTTTGTCGTTTTCACGTGTGATCGTTGCAGTGGATACAGCTGCAGTTCGACTGTTTAGGTGCAGATAAATGGCTGAGTGTACAAGTGCTGTCGACTACAGGAGTGTTTCTATGTACAGACTGTATGACGTGTCGTTATCGCGTCCCGTGTGCGCATTCTATCCCGATAACGTAATTTGAAAACACGTCATCAATTTTCTATATCAATTGACCAATTTTACAGGGTGTATACATGGCTATTTCAACAAATATCTCTAATGAGCAAATACTTTTGGACGTTTGGTGATTCCTTATGACATTTGTATGTGGGCGATAGAATTCGTAAACTTCACCATTACGTTCAACAAAGCTTAAATTGTATGAACTTCGACCTGAAGCGTACGGCTTGCCTGACAAGTGCTAAACCTACCCTGGAATAGCGAACACTTTTTGCGACTTGTCTGAACAATACTTCATCGGGAAATTAGATAAAAAGGTAAATAAAAGCACCCAGATTGTCGTATACCTAAGTAAGAAGTAAACTGTAGTTGTAATGAAGTAACGTTAAAAAGCCACGATTTAAACAGCGACTGACTTGCGGCTTTTTTTTTTGAAGAATAAAAACACATTTTTTTTTCAAGAATAATGTACCAGAACTTTAAATAAAAGTGGAGATATTAGTAAAAATCACACGAAATCACCAGATATGTCAAGATGGACGCATCACTTGCGCGAAATGTGTGAATGTCAACCCAGTAAAAAATTTATGCAATTCTTATATATAAAATAGGACTCCGTGGAGCTTAGAGGTGTGCCGATATTTTAAAAATTATTAGCAACAAACTTAATGACGTTCTATTTGATGTGATACTCGAAGCGAATAGTGCAGGTCCAATATATCAGTTATTTATCGAATACCTCCTAAATGAGCAGCACTCACTGAAAGACCTCAAAAGAACAAGATGTTTGAACAGCGGTGGTCATTTTTCTCGTTTTATTTATAGTGAATTGTTAAAGTATAAGTAGTTCGGAATTTAAGGGAACTACCGATCATTTGCAAATTCCAGGGCAAAGAAATATTTTTGCTTGAAGCTATAGTGTCACAGAAGTGAATGTCTCCTCATCACATTGATATTGTCGTGAGATCCATAATGTTGAGTAAGGAAACATTATGTAACTATAAAGGTATTGGTCTTACGAGACTAATACCTTTAAGCTCCTGAAGTAAGGACTGTATTCATTCTGTGGTTGGAAAATGCTCCTAACGCTCTATTTCCTGCTGTATACGAGGTTACCTCAATTTACATAACAGTGGTAGTTTCTGTCGCCTAATTGTAACGACTTTGTTAGAAGCTAACAGTTGGGAGTATTTGTTTTAATTACGTTTTAGTATGTAGGGCAGTTTTGATTATGATTGTTTTACTAATACATAGCTATGTCATTTGTATTGGTATTTATACGACTCTAAATTTTACTGTTCGCGCAACCCTGTAGACACTTCGCTGTAATTTCGGCCCATGTGTAACTAGTACGATGCTGCGCATTTTTTTTTATTTCAGCTCTCTTTTCAGAAGAGATAATTCCAAATTAATTATAAAGATAGCTCACAATATTACGTAAAAATGTTGGAGATTTACGCTGACCAAGATCCAAGTTGACTCACACGATTGTTACGCTCTGCAATATTATGGCTCTCTCTGTCAAAATGGAGGACACCTAGGAACTTGTGGCTGGCTTAGTTCCTTTAGTCTGCTTATTGAGTACAGAGTGTGTCCGTTCTTTACCCGTGTGAAAACCCAACAGAGTTTCGGCCATCTGTTCACCAATGAACAGTAATATTATCCAGATTTCCTTTATATTACGACAACTTGCAGAAATGCACATGAAATAGGTGAGGAAAGGCTGCTTCTTCCGCATCGCATTAATAAAGTAGCAACGATAGCAGAAACAATAGTCTTCTTTCATAGGCAGAGCTTATCTATAGCAACAGTGTTGTTGGTTTTAGGTATCGTGTGATATGACCTCAGTGCGCACAAACTAAGAACATACGTCATTCAAGTGCAGTGCTGCTATCATAAATACGTAGCGTATATCCAATGCACGTGATATACTAGCAGAAATCTAACAGCTCACGCACGAAAATCTATACAAATTTTTATTGACGTCTCTGCAATATACATGGCAGTATTCCATGCAGAAGAACTTTTTATTCAATGCTAACTGATGTGGATGAAGGTGTCAATTGTTAGTGAATTTTTTCATCACTCTTTCAATGGCCGTGCCTTGACGTTTTGCTCTACTTTTGTGTGAAACTTGGCTCCATATGGTGAAGGACACGACAGGTGGCACGAGTACATTGCAAGTACTTAGCACTTACGATAACAAAAAAATGATGACCGTAGACAAACCCTGGTGAACGTGAACGCGTGTAGTAACCGAAGAAAGCTGGTACAAACCTTCTTTTATAATAGAGCAAAAGCCTGAGATTAAGCAGGAAAAATTCATCGTCACCGTCAACTCAGTGACGCAAGGAAGTCAGCACGTGGTGACCCCACCGTATGATGTCATATTTACTTCTGAGCTCGCCTGAATTTGCGATGTGACGATGATCTAACTATGACGTATTGTAACTTGATAGCACGTGATGGCATTGTCACATGACAGATGTCGCGTAATCATAGGTGAGCTGTTCATGGAAATAGTGCAAAACCAGGTGAGGTGCAGAAAGATTTCGGGGTTCGGTGGCGCAGGATCAGTACGTTGGCTGTGAGGCACAAGAAGCAGAAGAGGGCTTTCAACTTCGAATCGATGTACGAGGTTGCATAAAGAACCCTGAGAACGTATTTATTTATTTATAAGTTTATTAATTTGTTCATTTGTTTACGCTCTTTAGTGGCGACATTTATTGCATTTGGTTCTACGTGTTTCACAACCCTTATATTTCGCTTTTCAAACTACAACGTGTAGTATACATGTTCGAGCGTTTAATTGTTTTTGTGTTGATTTTATGTTTATAATTGTGTTATAACCACCATGTTCCTAATATAGCTTTTGTCCTACATTATGCAGGCTAATGCCCTGAAAAGGGGCTTTAGGGGTGAATGAATGATGATGATAAGCAAGTACTGCCCCCTCTGACTGAGCGTTTTGGCGTATACTACAATTATATTATTTGTACTTTGCAAACTGCCGATAACTACGCAAAATAAAGAGAAGTGTGTACCTTGACAATGAAGTACACTGGTGGACGTAATACAAGCACGCTTGCATATTAGAAATTTATTAAAACTGTCTAGATGAGCCCCTAGTGGAAATGTGCGGCAAAAAGCTTTATGGATACCAGTAAGTCTAATTTGTTACTAAAGTATTTCCCTTTGTCATTTTGTCTAGGCACACATTAGTACTTGTTGAGACCACCTCTGCAGAAAATCGACCGTTCATTTGTGCAAGAATAATGAAATGCTAGTTTCTTTTCATCTGCGCCAGGACATGAGGACGACTCAGGACATCGACTGTTTCATTTGTGCGCTGTGAGGATAGGCTGCGTGACAAGTAAGCACAGCTCTGTCGTTTATTATGAAGATAATTCTGTACCTTTATTTCCCTCAACATAATTAGCAGCAGCGTGCAGCGTTCGGTCACTCCTGTTTTAGTGTGATACTTGCGTCGGGTGCAGAGGTTTGTTGATTGGGCGAATTTTTTTAGAACCAATGAAAAGAACGACAAACCACGAGGGCATGTGTCAACTGAGCAATTATTGCAAAATGTTCATAGATATGTGGGTGCATAGAAACCAACAACAAAACGAAAAATAAACCGCACAAGCCCATTTGTCAAGGCCAGTTAGAGGTCATGAATGAATTTGCATTTAACGACCCATCAGGATGTCGAATTTGTTCTTTGGTAATAAATAAATATATTGTTACGGATGTGATGGGTTTATTTGCACTGAAAAAATGTCAGCGCTCTACCGTCACTGCCGAATCACCATTGCTCGAGAGCGTCCGATATCTTCTTCTTCCTCGCTCTTTCAGTCCACGTTACATTTCCCTCCGGGCCAGACGAAGCTCACCGAGCGAGTAGAAGCGATCGGTTGTTGTAGGGCATCAATCGGGCAATGTGCACAATTTGCGTCATGCGCGAACGCCGGTTCTGAGCCGTCACTTTCGCAACAGCGTAAGTGATGTCACTTAGGCACTGAGTAATGACGAATAGTCCTGAGTACTTAGAAAGAAACTTCTGGCAAAGTCCCTTCTTTCGAACAGGCGTCCACAGCCAGACCAAATCACCTGTAGCGAAAGTCACGGGCGGGTGTTTTGCGTCGTAGCGGTCTTTCGCGCGAGCGTGGGCGGAAAGAGTTCGGAGCCGAGCAAGTCGGCAAGCTTCTTGCCCGACACAAAGTCTGCGTGATACTGGCGTTTTCGTTCGTCGAAAAAGGAAGTATGGTGTCAAGAAAACTTTGCGGATGACGAGTATAGAGAAGAAAGAAAGGCGTATAACCCGTGACTTCGTGTTTCGCGGTATTAAAGGCGTATGTAACAAAAGGTAATACGGCATCCCAGTTCTTGTGATCCGCTGCGACGTACATTGAAAGCATGTTGACGATGGTACGATTGGTGCGCTCAGTGAGGCCGTTGGTCTGAGGGCTGTATGGCGTGGAATGGCGTGGAATGGCGATACTGACACCCACAAAGCCGTAGCAACTCTTCGACAACGTCAGCGGTAAACTGTCAGCCGCGATCACTTATCACCACGTGAGGGGCCCCGTGACGAAGTATGATCGAGTGTAGAAGAAAACATGACACATCAAATTATGTGGCTGAAGCAACCGCCATCGTTTCAGTATACCGCGTCCGGTAATCTACGAACACAATAATCCAGCGGCGGCCGGTGGTAGACTTGGGGAAAGGGCCCAGTAAATCTATGCCGACTTTTTCGAATGGTGATGTCAGTGGCTTAACCGGCTGCAGTGGGCCGGCCAATGGCGTGGTAGGTTGTTTGTGGCGTTGGCAGACATCACAACTTGCGACGTAGTGCTTGGTGGTCTTCAGAGTCGAGGCCAGTAAAAACGTTGTCGGATACGGTGAAGCGTTCGGGCAAATC